ACAATTAAATCAAATCTGTTTCTGTGCACAACTGGCAACAATTAATTTCTAAAACTTCTTTCATTGAGATAGAGGCAAGAAATTGGTATCTTAATTAATCATGTTGGATGAACAGCAACCTTGTTCTTTTCCCTATGCCATGTTTCTTCACTGGTGTGGAAGGGGATGGCAGCAAGTGGGGAAGTGCAGCCACCTGGTGCCATTGGATGCTTTCAATACCCAGCGTGGGAACCAGCAGACATAGTGCAACATTTAATTGCCTTTTAAATAAGTGGGTTTGGGAAGAGTTTCTGCACCACACACCCTTTTTCCATACTGTGCTGATGAGCATTGCAGGGGCTGGAAACTCTAGTGCAGTTAGGGCAGTGGGGTCCCTTCTTACCATATTAGAAATGATTCAAAACATGTTTATTGCCATCAAGCTCAGAGGGCTCCAGTGAGTTTTGAAAGCATCACAACTCAAGCTCCCATTTTTTAATCTACTTTGCACTGTTCAGTGTTTATACCACAATGGAAGCTGGATTCAGGGAATCAGGAATTCAGAGGAATCGATGAATTATCCAACAGCAGTGTAATCTTCAAAGTGTACTCCTAAACTGTTACAAATCTGAAGACTTTACCCAAACAGAAAAAATCTCTACCTGAAATCTTGTTAGTTGGCTTGGAGTCTGACACTGGGGCTGTCCTTTCCTTCCTTTGCCCTGAAATCACCTCCACAGAATTAGATGAGGGTCACTGGCATGGGAAATGCTGCTCTGAGCTGCTCCAGCAGCCCTGTGCTTGTCTGAACTGGCAAGAGAGCCAGCTAGCATCCAGCTTATTGTGTTGCCAAAACAAAGCAAAATAACTGCAGTGAATGGTTTTCCCTGCTCTGTATTTTTTTTAATATACATGTACTTCAGGGAGCAAACAGTTTTGCAAGATTCGTATTCTTTTGCAGGTATGTATTCAGTGAAGTGAACAGTTTCCCTTGATTCCTTGTGTGTACGTATATATATGTCATAAACAGTCTCCCCTGCTTGTCCCACCATTTAGGCAGCAGACTCCCACTAAGGTTCATCGTTTGCACTGAAATCAAGAATTGTAGGTGATGAGTGGAACTTAGATATCTGTATTCCAGGAAGATCCTGGCTAATGTTGCTGAATTAAGTTGCTAAGCACTGTCCTCGTTAATAACTGACTAATAACGCGAAAAGGGAAGTGGCCAGTTATGGTAGACTTTGACAAGCTGGGTAAATCCAGAGCTGAGTACACAGAGGGCTTTTAGGCCATGCCAGATGCTTGCAGGAAGGTCCTCCCCCTCTCCTGATTGCCCTGCTAATGGATTAAACTGTCACGGCATGGCCCAATAAAAATACCACGTGAACAGTAGAGCCTTCAACAGCTGGTGCCTGGGTTCAGAGCCCCTGAAGCCCTGGGGATGACAAGGAAGCCACTCTGAGTCCAGCTGCGCCAGGACCCTGTTGCTGTGTGATGCCCCATCAGGCATCCCGTGCCAGAACCCTTGGAGTGACAGAGGCCAAGGGGTATAAACCAAGGGTCCCCCACTGCCCTGGCACAGGGGGATTGCTCTACTCCCTTCTCTCACCAACCAGACAGCTTCATCTCAGCTCTATTAATGTTACCTGAAGCATTTAATAGCACCATCACTAGCCACCTGTATAAAACTGAATAGACTATTTGCAACCTTCTCTCTTCCTGTTGCTGGCCCTATTCTGAAGACAAAAGCCCATCAGACCATTTCCCTATCCAGTCACAAATCTGCTGAGCAACACCATACATCAAATCTTATCACAAGGAAGCAGAACTGATTCATGTTCTCCTCAAATGCCATTAAAAAGTATTTTTGCTGCATGTAGACTCAGCAATTGGTGATAGGCTTTGGCTGCAGGGCTCCATCTCCTGGTTTTAGGAAGATATTGTATGACATAAGGAAATAGTTCATTTTCAAAAGCACCTGAAAAATTAAGATATTATTGGTGTGCTGGAGAGATACTGAGATGGGTTAAATACCTATGTTATTCTTTATTTTTGAAGTACTGCAAACATCACCAAAATTTTGTGATAATATATGCTGCTGTGTGTAGCTTCAAACTTGTTTTATTGAGATTAAATGAAGACCCTTTGACCACTTAGGATACTCCTGCTGTCATTGAAGCAGTGTGCTAAGCTGGAAGGAACTTCATTTCCACCTTAGCTTTTAACTAGTTGCTGTAGCTGACTTTTAAAGGTCCCTTCCAACCCAAACCATTCCATGATTCTATGAAAACATGGCAAAGAGGTGTTTTGCTATGCTTTTCTTTTTCTAGGACAAGGCCACTGGGGGCATCACCTCAGATGTGGGAAGTGGAACAGCTGCTCCTCCAGGATATACAATTTTCCAGATCCCCATCATCTTTCCCTGTAGGCTTCATCTCACCAGCTCTGTCCAGACATGCTGGAACTACTGACCTTTAACATGGGTATGTCCTCATTAGCACTCACCAAATACTTCTGAAATGCGTTCTTATTGGGGTTTTATCTCAATCAAATGAAAAGACTAGGAGAATACTTTCACGTATTTATCACCCACACACTACTCAGATAAAGACAGATAAACAGCAACATGTATAGGTCACAGACTCAAAGTTGACTACCAGCATAGGGATTGCCACTTTTGCCCGCACAACGCAAAGGCCAAGCAGCTCCAAAAAAATAATCACAGTAGAGCAATTTGGGCAAACCACTTTAACAACAATCCTTATATGAGAAGTGAGACAAAGCTTTACTCCCACATACTATAATTCAAAAGCAGCTCCAGATATACATAAAACATACCTGGAAAGTTAGATGAAAGTCAATCCTTGAAGTGATCTGCAAAGGCAATGTCAGCAGAGGAAATGTAGCGTTTGCAGTTAAATGAGTAAGACCACCTCCTATGTAAGAAAGTGGAGATCATCTCATGTAGAAGTCCTGTTTATTATTTTTAATTCTTGAAGAGAAAGGTTTTTTATTTTAGGCTGTGTATTTTAATGATGACTTATAGTGCAGTATCAGAGAAGACATCGAGAAAAGGTAGCATTCATCACAGTCATTATGTACATTGATCATCAGTCCTAAAGGCAAAGCATGCCAAGGAAATACCAGATCCCTACATTACAAACTGTGCAGTCCGAGTTTCTCTCATCTTATCTGTTGCTCAAACAACCAGAAAAATCCTTTCAGTTTTTCCTGCACAATACTCTAAAAGGCCTGAACTTATCTTCCCACTCTGAAGTCAATGGAAATTTCCTACTTTGCAGTGGTGATGCATCTAGTCCCACCTCTTTAAAAATACCACTACCAATAGAAATTATTCCTCTTCAGCATAGATAATACTCCACATGAATCTGACATTTTCAAAGGCTGTAGAGGTAGACATGCAAGACTTAAAGACATTTAGGTGCAACTTTAATTTTGCCCTGTCATCACAATCTACTTGAACATTTTTCATACAACTAGGGACACAAAAAAAATTTTAATTTTCTGTTGTGAGGTGCTGGTTTCACTATTTGCCAGGCATCTATTTTTCCCAAAGAACATTTTACCTGTCAGTGGATGACATAAATATAACTGATAGTGTGATGTTGAAAGGCAATTTCAATGTAAATGAGCTACGTGAGAACAATGTAGCAGCTTTCCTGCATCTGTAATAAATGACATGTTATTTTGCCCAGTGGTCTAAGTATAGACTGAGGAGTGTTGAGACAGTTAAGTGTGTCCAAATTTCAGGCATTTTTCAATGCAGCAAAGTGACCCTTAACAAATACTTCAACAAATCCTTTTGATCAGGTACCTTTGATCTGTCCATGCAGCATTTTCTGCTGCATCATTCCCACTGAAACATGAAAAACACATAGGAATGAGTCATCATTTGGTATTTTTTCTCTTGTCTCTCTTTTGCAGGATAGTACTTATGTATAACCATGTCACAACATAATTTCACCAAAACCATTATTTTGTAAAAATAAATTAGGTATAAGGTCAAATGGAGGTATGAGCTTGATAATATCTTGAAATCAGATAGCCCTAGATTTGCCTGCATTTAAAATGGCAAATGAGCCGCTGGGAACCAAATCTTCCTAATTTTACAAAGGCAAAGTTTAATTAACTTCACACCCTACACAACTTCCAGCTATTAGCCATGAGGGTATGGTGCACAGCTACCATGTTCCTCTAACTTATACCTTTAGTTGTTGCCTAGGGTGGTGGCTAGTGGCTCCGTGCTTCTGTAATGATAAAGTGAGGGGAGAAAGGGCATAGTGGGTTGACCTTGGCTGGGCACCAGGTGCTCACCAAGCCACCTTCTCACTCCCCCTCTTCAGCAGGACAAGGAGAGAAAATTGAATGAAAAGCTTGTGGGTTGAGATAGGGACAGGGAGATCACTCACCAATTGCTATCATGGGCAAAACAGACTCGACTTGGGGAAGATTAATTTAATGTTTTGTCAATTAATGACAGAACAGGATACCAAGAAATAAGAATAAATCTAAAAACCTCCTCCCACCACCCTTCCCTTCTTCTCAGGCTCAACTTCACTCCCAATTTATTTACCTCCTCCTCCACAGGGCCACAGGGAGACAGGGAATGGGGATTACAGTTAGTTCATCACGTGCTGTCTCTGCTACTCCTTCCTCCTCACACCTTTACCCTGCTCCAGCACTGGGTGCCTCCCACTGAATATAGTCCTGCATGAGCCACTCCAGCATGGATCTGTCCCTCAGGCTGCAGTTCTCCAAGAACCACTTAAGCATGGGTCCCATTCCACAGGGTCAGTCCCCCTGGAAGGGAGTGCTCCAGCATGGGTCCTCTGCAGGGTCACATATCTTGCTAGGACCCTTCTCTGCAGCTTCCTCCATGGCATATCTGCCTGGTCTGGCATAGACCTCCATGGGCTGTAGGGGGACAGCCTGACTCACCATGGTCTTCACCACAGACTGCAGGGGAATCTCTGCTCCAGTGCTTAGACCACCTCCTCCACCTTGGTGTCTGCAGAGCTGTTTTTCTCTTTTTTCTCATTCCTCTCCATCACAGCTATTGCTCAGCACTTTTTTATCCTTTCTTAAATATGTTATCACAGAGGTGCTACCAACATTGCTAAGGGGCTTGGCTTTGGCCAGCGGCAGGTCCATCTCGGAGCCTGCTGACAGTTCCTGATGTCCTCTCATAGAAGCCACTCCTGCAGCCCTTCACTACTAAAACCTTGCCATGCAAACTCAGTGTATCAGGCAACCATTTCAGCAGTCCACTCTCATGGTGAATGTCCATCAAGCCTAGACCTATCATATTTAAAATCTGCTTATGGAAATTTGGTATCAGCATTTGGTCAATGTTCCTAGTGATATGGAGCTGCTGTTGTATGAACGTACTCCTGATATTATGAACGACACTTCACTAGATACAGTGAAGAAAATGGGATTCAGCTGAGCAGAGAGCCAGAGACGGAATTCTGAATTTTAGGGGAGCAGTCCATGCTTCAAGCCAGTAGAAATCCAGTGTGCCACAAGTTCTCCCACTTCATTCCCCAATTATATTTCTGAATTTAAAGCTGAATTCCGGAAAATATTCCATTAGTGTATGATGCTTAATGCTTTATGCAGTCTGCACAAAACGCTACACTGCTTCTTTTGTGGTATTTGTTTCTTTGTTTACTTTTTCCCTCTTTTTTTTCACACGTTTTTGTATGCATCCTTTTTCTATGCAGTTTTGAAATGCATAATGAGATGCCAAAGTGCAATGAGGTCATAGAATTATAGCCTCAATTTTCCTGATTTTATTTACTACTGAATTTCAAAACACACATTTTCTACTGCCCTGTGAATAATGAAATTCAACAGAACTATTTAAAAAAGATGGAGAAATCTATATCTATACAGTGTTCTGGTTTGTTCCAAGGAAAGCTGCATCTATGAATCACTAAATTTCCATTTTGTCCCCAGACTATTCTTGCTTTTCTCTCTACCACATATTATTCTCTGACTTCTTGGGTGTACCGTAGGGATCGGTATTTGTTTCTTGAAGGTGGGTGAGCATTTTTTTATCCCCTAGTTGAAAGAGGTGGTGTATCATTCATATCTGCATTACCTAAAACAATGTTTCTCAAACAAGGGACAGTATCTGATAAGAACATGTGTCAGTCTCTAGCGCAGATAGCAGCCCATGGTATTTGAAACCTTTAAGTAGGTCTGAAGATCTTGAGGCAGACACCAGGCTGGATTTTCCAGGCATAATCCCCAATGTGTCAGCTGTGGTATTCTCAAATATAAAGGTATGGATCAAGTTCTTTATTTTTGTTCCCCATTCTCAATAGCTGAATTATTATAAAGAGAACTGGGGACATGTTGTGCAAACTGTACCCTGTTTGTATTTGGTGCTTGCTAAAGGAACAGCTCCATTGCCTACAAGCAGCTAATTCCACATCTAATATAGTGATTTACAGAGAAAAGTTACAAGTTTCCCATAAGAATGTTTTCATTCATTATCATGTATCCATGGAGAGTCTCCCCCATGCAGATCCCCTTCACAGTGCACGATGGAGGAAGGGGTTGTCTCGGAGAGGGTGAGGCAAGAGGCAGGCATGGGGCAGGCATGTGGAGCAGGTCTTGCTGTGAATCCCAGTGCCTCTTCACAAGTGCTTGGCAATGCCTGAGAAGCACCCTAGAGGGACTGGTGAGGAGCTGCTGCAAAAGACAAGAGAGAGAAAGTCAGACTGAGGAAGTGAGGAAGCTTTTATCTGCTCTTGCCCTCCTTAGTAAAAAACGTTGAGCCTGTTTCTGACACATACCTTTAGTATAGCGATTATTTTAGAGGGATTTTTGCTGCTTTTCAGTGGACACCACCTTTGTCTCTTTCTAACTAATTTGCTTTACTAACTAATGAATACAGTACATTCAATCAATAAGGATGAATAATCTGAGACCACTTTTTGTGGCTCTGAGGTCTATTTCCACATCAATCATAGGACTTAGGGAAAGAGCATGTAACTCACAGCCTGAAGCCTGGTATTTTTAACATCACCTCCGTAAGGGCTCTTTTTGATGGTGATGAATAAACACCTACTTCATAACTTACTTCTGGCAGAAGTAAGACCAGAAATTGCTATTTAACTTTTATGAAACCAAAAACTTGCTGATTTAACAACAGATGATTTGGGCTATTTCATTACACTACCATAATTTACATAACCGCTATTGAAAGTGATTCACATAAAGATTTAAGATACGCAGGTAAGTTCTTATATACCTTCCAGCAAAGAAAAAAATGATCCAATGTGAAAATCAACAAAACTTTTTTCTATTTTTTTTCCTGCATGATTCTTGAAGCTTCCAAGATCTTCCATTGCTTTGCTCAGATAATTTTGCCTCTGGGAGAAAAGAATGAGACCATGGGAAGTTGCTGGTGAAAGCTAGATGGGAATCTCTCTCACAAATGTCTGCATATTTCCAACCTCCAGCAATGAGATGATGCCAGTCCTCCCTCTGTCATTCAAATAACAGAAACAACAGAGGTAGGCAATAGATGCTGAAAACATCAAAAGGACTTTTATGAGGTGGGTGGCACCCCATAAATGTCACAACAGCTATGACAAGAGACAGAACATAGCACACACAAACATAATTGAATTCCAGTTTTACCACATGACATATTTTATTCAAAGAGTATACTACATATTTTTTAATTGCTTCTTGCCAGTTAAGAAGGTCTTGGAGGGAGAGACATTATGTTTAATACTTTTTAAGGTATTAAAAAGGATATTTTTTACATTATTGTGAATACTACATTAATTCCTGTTACATTAACATGAGACACTGAATTTTTCTTATTAAGTTACTGAGGTCTAATAAAATGAAAAAAAAGCCCACAATAAAATCTTCAAAAGTAAATAAAAGTAAAATCACCATTACAGCTGTTATGACTTGCAGAAGCTAAACAAAATAAAGAAATAACATATATGTCTATGCTCAAAATTACAAAATTGCGGCTATAAAAACAGTGGCAGTGCCTTCTGTTCCTCAAAGAAGGCACTAACTTTAGATATTAAGGTTTTACTTAAAGATATTTCAGGTATTTTCTTCTTCATTGGATCAGCAGTGGCTAGGCATGCATCAGTTAAACTGTAAATAACCTTTCTAGTTGATACAGTCCGTATCAACTTCTGTTCTTCTTCTGACCAGTGCATTTCTGCTCTGGAATGTTACATAGGGCACACATGTACTGCGTTGCAAAAATTATTTCTGCTAGAAAATGAGAAAACCTCATTAATGAGCAGATGAGTTTTGTCTGTACTTGAACTTTTCACACATAAATGTTTGCATTCAGTATTTCAGCTCAGGCTTGTACCCCAACTGCTTGAGTATTCAGGAGTGATGAGATGCAGTGTTTTGATCTCAAGCCAAGTTTAATTTGCCAGTGGCCACCGGGTCTTTTATACATGATTGGACTTTAGAAGGTGAACCTCAGAGGTCACAAAGGAGCTACTCTTTTCAGTGAAGACAGGTTGTCCCTACCATGAGGCAGGCTGCAGAGATAAAGCTTGGTCTCTGGTAAGAGTCATGTGCAATTTAATTTATTTATTTATTTATTTTAATCTGAAGTTGTTTCTATTTTACTTTATTCATGATTTGAGCACTTTCTTCTGAAATCTGTCCAGTGAATTTTCAAATAGAAAACTCTCATGGCATCCTGATGGTGTATAGTACATACCACTGATAGCACCTCAGGATCAGCTGCTAGGACCATTCTAGTATAAGCAAAATACTGAGAGTTTAAATCAGACACAAATGATCACACTATCAAAGATTTAATGTAACTCCTCAGCATTTCTTGTCAAGGCTTGAAAATTATTGCTTGCTTTCTCATGTGTTTATAAAGGTGAAAATTTTGTTGAAAGCACATACCCTCACTCCTACTGCCTGCCTTATCTAAACACAAGAATGAAAAAGTCATAGACATGTTCACAGGCCTTCCCATCATAAACACTGTTATCTTCCTCATGTCATTTCTAGACTGTGTATGTGATTAGAAAATTATTATTGCTAAGAATGTGTAAGTTACCAATAGCTGAGATGAAGAAACTTTCTTATCCAAACTAAAAGAGGAAAAAAATCAACGAATTCCAAAATGTTTAGCAAAGTTCTTTTTCACTTCATTTTCTCTGGTCAAGTTTAATCTGAATATTAATGTATTAAATGTTATTAGCATTAATGTCCAGGCATGTGAAATAGATGAGGTCTAATCAGTTCCTATGCCATGTCATCTAGCATTCATATCCAAATGTGCCCGGATCATTTCATCACATATTGTCCCTTAATCAACATTCTGAAAACAGAAACCCTGGCAGAGAAAGAAAATTATACCCACAAATGAGATAAAGAGAGATATTTTCAATTACTATTTTTTTTAAACTCTCCCTCAAATAATTCTTACGAGTTATTTTATGAAAATTTGAAAAACATATTCTGCGGTCTGCAGATGTTTTTCCTAAACATTTTTTTAACCTGTTCATTCTTTTCTTTGGCCCAAGTCCCCAAGATAAAAGGGAGCTGGAGCTCTACAGGGACACCTCAGTTTTCTGTGGGCCTTGGGACTATACAGTGTGCAATGTTATCGATTAATGCTGTAGTTAAAATGAATGGTGATTAATTAGCCAATACAGTTATTAAATAGCTGCCAGATAAACAAATAAAACATTGTTTAGTAAAGCAAAACATTGAGAATTCTTTCTTAGTTTCCATAAAAATGAATTTGTTTATAGACTTCATTATCAGAATGGAAAAGCAAGAATCATGATAGAATTCCACGTGCTTTGTTTGGGATTCATCTTATCTAACGTTGGCTATGTCACATCAGCATTTTCATCTGACTTGGTTATACGCTCTCTCTCTAGTGAGCAGCAAGGAATATGCAGTTCATACAATTTATTTTATACATTTACATTTGAATGAGTGAGTGGTATTCTAATATTTAAAGTTATATCAAACTCTCTCTCTCTCACCCATACACAGAGAAGTCCTTCATATTAGGAAAAATTAGGACCTAAAATCCAGCATACAAAAAGTTAGATACGTGGTATTTATGGTGGCTTGAGCATCTCTAATCACCTGTCTTACTTCAATGCATTGTGATACACTAACTACAAGATCACACCCTTTTTTCCCATCAGATGCCTACTTCAATTCAGGCATGACTAATAAGCTCTCATTCAGTGACTGAGAAAGGGAATAGAGGTTATATGGAAAAGTCAGAATCCTTCAAACTTGACACTATACAACATTTTGATAATTAAAAAAAAAACCAATGTGGTACACAGAAAATGAACTTTTAAAAGCTGTTGACAGACCTCAAAATGCATTTGTAAACAGCAAGGTCTCATTAAGGACATGTATTCTTAAGGCCATGCTGAGGTCAGTTCTTGGCCTTCACATTTTTATTAATGCTCTGGAAGAAAGGAGAGAATCCGTACTGATTAAAGTGTGCATGTGATTCATGAAGAGGGTGCATTGAAACAAATGAGCTGATAAGCTTCTGCAAGCAAATGACATGTGCAGATAATTGTAATTCAACAATATTCAGGAATTACAGACATAATGAGGCATTATGTTGGGAAGAGTAACTGAAATGATTGGGGCATCATGTCGGTCAGCTAGAGATCTGCTCCTAGTGCAGTATGCAAAGGGTACAACAGCAAAACGAAAAGCCAATCCTGGGATAAATGAGCAGAATAATACAAAAAATTGTTAGAAAGGTTACACAACCTGGCACTGGCAAATATTCCTCTGAGATGCTTTTCACAGTCCTAGCACCCACAACTCAAGAAGAAATAAATTGGGTCCCTCTGGTTCAGAGATGAACCAGGAGAAAGATCAAAGAATTGAGGAACCTGCCTTAGTGGAACACTGAAGTCCAGTCTGTTTATCTTAACAAAAAGGCTAAAGGATGCCTTGATCATAGCTTCTAATTACCTCTAGGGGGAATAGAAATTTGATAGTTGAGGGCACTTCAGTCTCAAAAGCACGAACATGACTAGATTGAGTGCCTGGAAGTTGAAAGCAGAGACATTCAGAAACAGAAATTACATGCATGAAAATTAATCACTTCAATAATTTAACAAAATAATGATAGCTTGTTCATACCGCAAATATTTAAACTGAGTTTTTCTAACTTTTAAAAAGAGATGCTGTATTAAACAAAAACTAATTCAGAAAGGAGCTGACCTGTGTTACACTGCAAGTCAGAGTAAACTATTATCTCTGAACTTAGGATCTAGGACACTGTTGCTTCCTTTCATCACTGACTGGAGGGCTCACATCTTCTTTACAGTACATTATTCAAAATCTTATATGCTTCCAAAATATTCTGTTTTCCTGGAATTTCTTTGCCTGTATTGTTAGAGGGTGGCACCAACATTAATCTGTACAACAGGACAGTTCAAGTTGGAGAAGTGGAATTGTGGGTATTTTAGGAAAAGAGCACCAATATGAGATTAAATTTGAAAGCATCTCTTAACTGTGGATGCACAATTTGAAAGGTTTGTACCTGATCTTTCAAAATACCTTGCACTTCTGAGAACTTCACATATATAAAGCATAGCTCCTACCAGCATCAGTCATGGCTCTGAAAGCTCAGTATTCTCACAAATCAAACTTGAGCATTTCACATGGAAACTCAGAAATGGATATCACAAAGTTAATTACCACTTCTGGATGAAAACTTATTTCAAATTATTCCTGCAGTAGAGCACTGCAGGAACTCAGTGTCCAAACACAGTTTGAGGCAATGTTCAAAGATTTAACTCAGAGACCAATCTTTCCTATTTTGAAATCCCTTCTTATGATCTGTACAGACCATTTTGTGTCTGTAGTGTAGAAGGCAGAGACAAAAAAGCAGTCCCCTTCACTGCACAAACCTAGTTAATCCTTAGAATATATCCTGTCACCTCAGTCAGTCTCATAAAGGTACTATGAGAAAATGATGCACAAAGAGGAGATAAAGGCACAGTATAATGCATGTCCATGAGGTTGTAGAGAATTTTTCTTCAGTTCTGGTATTTCTTAGTTATAAAGAATCTCAATTTGCAACCTTGGTGCTTTTTCTAACAGTTTCAGTTTTAAAAGTGTCAATTCCTGGGTTCCTCTATTATCTTTTAAGCAGAAAAAGTATCACTGTCATCTTACCAGCTGGTTACAAGGGAGCAAAAACATTCAGATCGAGCATGCAGAATTGTGTTATACGAGCTAGAGGAGGAATGAGATCATACTGGGCAGCTGACATCCTTCTCTATCCCAATAGAGAATTTTCTCATTGAATTTCCTACACAACTCCCAAAGCGGAGAAGAGTGCTCTACTACCATAGATCACTCCCTTATATACCTCAGCATGGCCATCCCTCACAACATGTTGCTGTCCTAGACCTTTCCTGGTTTCACCCATGGCTTCCTATACATCCCTGTGTGTGCACAGAGGTACAAATATAACTGTGAGCTCTTGAAGGTGTAGAAACTAAGGGAAGGAACTTCTTGGCATGTGTCTGTATGAAAGAAAGGTAGGATACAAAGTGGAAGGCCACAGAAAGCAGAAACAGAAATCTAGAAAAATATCTTCACTGGACACGTTGCCTGGTGGAAAGGCAGGCCTGGGTGCTGAACAAGAGACCAGGTACCAGAGCTTTGTATCCAAAAAAATTCCTTTTTTCTGCTAAGCACATTGGGATGCACCAGGTGCATGGAGCAAGCTGAAGGTCAGACAGAGCTGACAGAAGCCACTGGCTGGCAGTCATCCCTGTGAGGCTGCTGCAAGCCAGGCTCCTTGCAGTGTCCAAGAGGTGAGAAGAAAATGCTTCCCATAACAAGCTGGCACCTCGGATGTACTGATGTGCCTGGGCAGCACACTCTAGCTAACATTACAGTTAAATAAAAATCCTTACTATTGACTTCAGCATATGGTTCTGTTTGTACCTTAATTGGGGCAGAGGCATCTCTCTAATAATTTTAACAACCTGATCATAACATCCAACCAATAGGCTATGGTAGTGCTTCTACAGTTTATTAAGAATGTGAGCAAAAAAAAAGAAGCTATTTAGAAGCTTTTAGATTCTTGCTGCTGGAATATCTCCACAGAGAGTCTCCTTATAATCAGAAAAATTATTTGAAATTTGTATATAGGTTTCATCAGCAAAGACTTTGTCTGACTTGTCATATGTTAATAGATGCTTTCCGCAGCAAGTGCTTGGCCCCTGTGCCCTGTCAGCTTGGCCAGCTGCCACTTGTATTCCAAATAAAATGAAAGGTGGTGGGTTTAACATTTAAACCAGCCCACAACTTCAAAGCTTGTTGCCCAAAGGGCTCACGTGTCTGATGTACAGGGAAAGTTGTAAACTCTGCACTGCTAAGTTAGACAGAGATCACATGTGGGTATTTTATGCTGAAAGGTTAATAAGTTTTGTTCACCTTGGATCATGAGGCTACAACCACACTGCTGTGAAGAACAGCCAGCTCCACACATGGCCTCAGAGCCAAATTAACTGCTGCTGTCTATTTTATGTTGCAGTGTACATCATGACCTGGTGACAATTGAGAGGGGATTTGAGAACATGCTCTCCAGCACTTCTAGGTTTTCCTTACTAGCCTCATATCTGTATATGATACTCAATGCACTGGCTACCTGTCTGGTACGTGACAATATCATATAGTCCAGTGACACAGGGTCCTTCCATGAAAGTCCCTGCCTTCCACGAAAGACCACTCCCGCTGGAAGTTTTATAATTTGCTGGCGGTCTGGGCTGAGGCTGAATTTGGGAAGAACTCAGTTGGTTCTGTGTTTAGGAAGCAGTAAAACTGCATACTGCTCATCTTCGGAATGATCTGTTGAGGGCTGCAGACAACTTGATAGAGTCTTATCCACTGTGGGGTCTCACCATGTCTCAACTGGTAGTCTTTATCACTGGTAGGACACTTGACAAGGTGGATCTTTCATCTAATCCATACATAGGCAGTCTTGCCTTTGGGCATATTGACCTTCCTGCAAGACAGGCGTTCCCAAAATTTTATATCTGTGAACTAAATTTGGAATTAGAGGTCATATGTTAACATAGATGCCATCAGTGTAAGGGCAGAACATGTGGTATAAGGGAGATGCTGGAAAGTTAAGTTTTAAATCCCTTAACTACATTATAATTACTTTTGCAATCTGCTTGGAATAGTATCAAGACACAATAAATACTAATTTTAAGTAGAATAAATAAATAAGCAGTAAGATAATTATTTTGGGGAGTTTGCTGTAAAACTATTATAAAAGGGAAGTGAATGCCTGTGGTGGACCTTCAGTATCTGATTAAGAAACCTATCACCAGTCATTAAGTCTCTGTCTTTCCTCCCAATACTAGAAAATAAAACCATTCATTTATTAAGTGGCACAATGATGTTTGCTTTTCTACTTCTTCCCTAGCAATCTCTAACATGAGGTCTTTTTGACATTCTCTGATGGTTTTAGAATGTTAGCTGCAGTAACTCCAGATCTTTTCTCCAGGTATCAAAATAACTTCTTCAGAAACAACCATTTTGCATGCCTAGTTAAAGAGATTCTTTCTTTTTTCAAACCAAAAGTATTAACTGCCCTTGTTGGCGTTGAAATTCATCTGCCGTATTGCTGTGCAATTGTGCAGATGAGGTCTTCTCTACTTTAAATGAAGCAAATTGTAATGCATACAATAAACAAGCTAATCCTATTATATCTTTGTACAGACATCATGTAAAACACAGCAGAGCCAAAGATAAGAATGTGCAGTCTAACACACATTATAGTAATTCAAAAGACTAACCATGATGTAACTTTAAGAAAAATCTCTCTCTCTTTTTTCTCCCTTTTTCTCTGTTTCTCTCTTACTGCCAGGTGGATTCCTGTCTTACACAGAATATTGCAGAAAAGGATTTTATGTTCAAAAACATCAAGTTGTACCCACTATCACCAAACATTACAAATTTAATCAACTGTATTCCTTCAGTTACTTCAAATGGACAAAAATTAGAAATAAAGCTGTCTCTATTCATTTTACTGTTAAAACATATATGAGGGGTGTTCATGCAATACTGTATTTGAAATGAAAATCTCTCCACAGAGAGAAAAACTGTATCTTTTTGAATACTGATAAAACCAAACCATTAATAATAATGAAAATGTTCAAAAGATTTTTTATTAATTGCACGAGATTTTGTGAGGAACTACTATCTTGAAAACAGAAGCTGCTCTAAAATTAACTGGAAAATAAGGGAACAAGCACTAATAATTAATTAATAATAATTAATTGTTCTGATTTAAATAGTTTCACTTCCCCCATAATTTACTTAATCATTAGGGAACTGTGAGATTGAATAAATAGATGCCATTCAGAATATAAATGCCAGAGTCACTTTATTTGTTCCCTTGTGGCAGAGTACATCTGAAAGGATGATAAGCAAAGATAACATATCTTGAAATTCCATCCTAACAAACAATAAATTACACTGCTGAAAGTAGGCTTTCAAAGTACAATTCACACAATTTCTCGGCCCAGCACACAGCCAGGTGCCTTGAAGGCCATATAAGCCACTTTAGAAGCAACAGTAGGTCATATAAATGGCCAATAAAGAGAGAATCACATGAATCTCTAAAAATAGGAGCAAATTAATTTCATTACAGAAATACATTACTGTATTCAAAGTTTCAGAACTGTAGAAGTTCTGAAGCTAAAAACCAGTTTTAATAGTCTTCTGTTTACTATCTATCTGATGATTCTAAGAGAATTTGCCATAAAAATAAAACCTTTTAGTGTGGTGAAAGAGCTGAACAGGAAAAATCAGATGATCAAAACTAAAAAGGTGGCTTCTAAAAATACTTGTTAGAGCTTTCATGATTAGCTTCTTTTTTAGTCCTTTCAACTCATTTCCTACTGGGACATATTCAGAAAGCCTGGTGCTTCCATTATTTCCATATCTAGTAGGAAAAAAAAATCAAAAATTAAGAAGATAAATTAGACACAAAGGGTTTGATTTAGATTGCATA